AAAAAAGAGAGATGAAAAAGATGCCCCAAAGATCAAGCATGTTGTTGATGACTTCTTTTTTGGCAGAAATGAACATTTGGCATTGATTCTTTGATGTCTTGGTTTCGTCAAAACAGCAATCCACAACACATCATATCAAGGGCCCATTAAGGGATTTTATCACAATGATCCAACCTTGAAGAAAATAATGGGGAAACAAGGTGTCTGAGTCTGCGAAGGCTAAGGGATATGTTTGGTTGCAATTATTAAACGTGAAAATGATTTTGAAAATAAGGGAAATGAAAAGCAAGGCCAGGCCAGCAATCTATAATGCCAAAAACACAATAATTTGTATTCAACTGGCATCCGTCCAGAAGTAGTTTTGAAGAAAAAGTCATCAAGATTGATACCCATTTGCCACCCCAATTGCAGCTTTAATTGAGAGACACCCATCAACAGTTCTTGCCACACTATTGCCAAAAGCTTTTTGTTGATGTAACTCAACAATAACAGTTGATTTATGAGTTGACAATTGTATCTTCTGTCCATGGTTAGCATTTTTGCTGCAATTTTTATGTGCAAGCTAAGACTTATATATTCATAGGTAAGAAGGGTAAAATAACTGATCAAACGCTGTGAATGCCAATCTTTTTCTTGAAATGCCTGAAATATTGGACCGACCAAGGAATTTTGTGCAAGAGACTGCAAATAATTAGCATGAGGACAATAATAAATATTTTTGCACTTCAATTCCACGTGATTATTCTTGACAAAATTGAGGTGCTAATGATCAAACTTAAGACTTTCTAGACGGAAGGCCAGGACACTGGTGCATGTTAAATGGGTGAATTGCCCAAATCTTGTCCAACCAATACTTTAAAAGGAGTTGAAGACTAGCATTATGGTACTGATTTGGTCAGCTCTGTGTGATTGAAAATTTGAACCTAATTTTGTTGTTGTTAAAAGTAATGTGTGTTTTAGGTGGAAAATGAAGTAAAAAAACTTATTAGGAAATGTTGAAAGTAATAAATAGATTAGGAACCTGTTCTTTTCAACTAAAACCCCCTTTTCTTGCTAGTTCATAGATGCTAAAACCATGGTCCAGAGATCATGTGAACTGCCCACAACATTCACCATTCAATATAATTAACAATCTAAACTTTTGGTGATGCTTGTGAAGGGCATCTGATATTTTCTTGTTTGTTTTATTTGCATTGGTCAAATTAAAGAACCATAGCCTGTCATCACATTTGGTCATCCTTTTCGTGCGATCTAACAATTGTGGGCTAAGTTATCTGTCTCAAAACCGTGTTAGAGAAAGCTATCTCACAGACTTTGCAAGGAGAAAGAAAAATGTTTGGACCATGTAAGTAAGATGCCTTTTCTGAGGTGTTGGTAAAGAAGAGAAAACCTCATTTGATGCAATTTAAGTATGACAAAACTAAATACTTTTACATAATTAGGTGTGTGAAAGAGGGCCATTGCTACAAGAGGACTGATAGATATCAGGCCAGTTGTTGGTACAAATTAATGTTATAACTAAACTTTCCTTTCTTCTTTTCTTTTTATTTTCCCTTGGGACTAAACCAACAGAAAAACTTGGCCAAGAATTCCAAACCCAAACAAGAATGCCGGAGAAGTTCAAACCAAAAACTCAACAACGCAAAAAAAAGAAGAAGAAGAAGAAGAAAAGATTAGGTGAATCAAAAAGTAGCCCAAGATTGATTATTGTTTCTTGAACTGAGAGAGATCATGGTTTATGATGAACAAGATTCTTGTCATAATTTTCTTTTCAACTTATGACAGCTGAAAAATATCTGCGTCAAAGTCCATAAGCTAGGCTATGCCAGTAGCTTCTTGTGTCCATCCATTTCTTGAAAAATTACTAAACTAAAAGCAGCTAAGCAAGAACATATATATATATGTGGGATTGGTTTATTCGTATAGAGTTGATATGTCAATGACGCCACCAAACCATGCAATGTTCACCAGAACAAAAACTGATCAAATCACAGAATTATGAATCAGTCATTCACGCAACTAAAATCAAATCCTTTCACATCAAAAAAAAAATAAAAAAAAAAACCCATTAAAATCTGGTCGTTGAATCAGTGAGATCAGATAAAGTTGTTTGGCTCCCTTGCATAGTTGCATAGTTGTCTTTGCTGAAAATGTTAGTGCTGCATAAATGAGCAAGCCATACATATCAGACTGCGTTGGACAATGTGGTGCCTTAACCATGTGAAACCCATCAGTTTCCTGCTTATGATCTGTTACATGAAACAGTACTGTTAATGCTGCATAATAATGTGCTTGCTGATAAACATCTATATTTCTTACGTCCAATCTTTCTTTCATAATACTTATCCTATACGGAGGCAAATCTTCAGAAAAAGATAGTTTGAAAATCAATTGTGTCATTTTAACATGACTACAAATAATGGACTTGATTAACAGTAGTGTCTCCCTTTACCCTTTTAACTATTTAACCTGCCTAAATGAATAATCTTATGTGATAATTTTAGGGACTTTGTGCAGAGTGCTAATCGTTTCTAAGATCTATGCCACTGACTCATTGCAGCCCTGAAATTGAATGTCCAAACTGGGCTATAGGATTATGTGCCCCTCTTCACCCTTAGCCATGCCTACCCTACTCTGGCAATGGATACCTTCTTCTTCAGCCATAATGCACCTACTATTGTACACAGTTTTTGCCCCCCCAAGTAAAGTAGGGAAATGGGAAAATCATGTAAGAAAATTCAGTGAAAAATGTTGGTAAACCAAAAAGTAAAATGCATGGGAACTGGAGTAAACTTATTTGTGTAACTTGTATAAATAAGCTCAATTCCTTTGATTGCCTTCGGTACAAAAAACTCGGGTATTGTGTCAAACTGCAACAGGAAAGAGTAAAAAAAGGAGCCAAGCCAACAGGTACAAGTTCTAGGAAATGAGTCCATGTCTTTGTATGTATATACTTCACAGACCTGCATGTCTCCTTTTATTGAGTTTGGGAACATTTCCTCGGAATGGTGCCTTGTTGAAAATGATAAACCTTTCCTCAAAAAAAAAAAAAAAAAAAACTAGTGTTACCCTTGAGATTTTGGGTAATGTAAATATTGGATTAGAGATTATTTGAAACAAGATTTTGAATTGACATTATAGCAACACTTTTTATAACGTGATGCATATGAAACAAAAGGACATTTGGGAAGATAATTTTAATGCACTATCCAAATTAACACACAATCTTATATTCTTGGTGATAGTCTATTATTATTAATCTGAACCCGGAAGTTAACATATAAATATTATTGATTAAGGGACAAAAAATTGATTTGTGAAACTCTATCAACTTTATCTCATTTCTTTGTAGTTTATTGAACTACAAATTGGATATTGCTTTATTTAACTAAAAACGAGAGATATTATAGGAGTTTATCTGATTTCCTTGACAAATAAAAGATATTTATGGGCTCACAAGATAACCATGAAAGTTAGCAAAGATGTGGACGAAACAAAGATAAAATGCATTTAATGCAAGTTTATGCTTGAACCCAACCCTATATTTATCCTTGATCTTACGGTGATTAGAGTGATCCATAAAATTTGGTCAACATCAAGTGAAGTGATCACGAGGCAAAATGAATGATTTTTATACATCTGGTTGGGAGGTTTCTCTCAATTTGAAGAAATTATTTGTGACATTAACGAAAACACGTTTTGATTTGGAGTCAAGAAGTGGCACCTGTGTGATTTAGCAAGAACCTTTGTAAACTTGTGATTTTTTTTTTTTTTTTGGTTTCTTGGAGACTCTATTTAAGATCTATGTCAAAAATGGAGTTGGAGTTGTATCCAAATTAATCTACATTTAATTAGGCACAAACTAATCCCAATCTAATTCAAATTTTACTAATAACCAAATAACAAATAGGGCCTAAACAGCCTAAAAGAAACTCGGCCCAAGTCCTGGGATTGAAAAGCAAACCTTTTACTATGCCCTTTTTTTTAGAGTATAAGTGGAAGATTTCAAATTTGAAACCTTTTATTTACACTTCCTTCTCTCGTATGATACTTAATTCATCTCTCCCCTTTTACTTACATTTCCTCCATTTGTATCATCTAACTCATCCCTTTTTTCCTCCCGTATCACCTAATCTATCTCTCCCCTTTTACTTACACTTCCTCTAGTCGTAAGTCGTATCATCTAACCCATCCCTCACTCCTTGCTGTACCATTTCATGATTGACTAATGAGGTGATCATGTATGAGTCGAATTTTGCAAGTGTATCACTGCCTAACATATTGGAAGAAAAGTTAGGGCAACAAGAAAGAGTTATGCATGCATCTTTAACTTGCAAAAATGATTTTGAGTTGTTCTCCAAAATGGAATTAGAATGTTCAAGAATCAAAACAAAATGAAGCCAAAAGTTTGGGAGGAAAAAGATGGATAGAAATGAGTACAACAACAATACACGAGTAACATGACCATGCACGTTTACCACTCTTTAAAACAAGCAAATTTCAAGAGTTTTAAAACATGCATATAAGTTAGAACATATGCATCACAAGAAGAAATTAGGAAAAATATGTGATATAAGTTAAGCAACTCATGCACTACTCTACCCCAAATCATATATTAGAAATGCAAATTTCAACAAACACTTATTTAGTACCAAACTTTTAGTCCATGTACCAAAGTTTATCCCTTTCCACCTATCATCAATTCCTACTTACTTGGAAAGAAGATGAACATGGACATAGTAGTAGTGACTTTTCATAAATGTACTTTGGAAAAAGAAAAACATAGAATTGAAGATGAGGATGAGAAAGAACTGCCAAAACCACCGCTTGAGCTACTTTGAAAAAAAGGGTCACGTACTCAAGTAAGCCAATTATGCATATCTCCACTTTCACCATTCAATTCTTGAACAACGAAACCGGCTACTACCTTTTTCCATACCAATGCATAGCAATAATATCACCATTATGGTTTTTAATAACAGAAAATAACAAAATGCAAGTAACTAAAGCAACCACACAAATATAATTAAATCAAAGAATTTATGTATGATTTTGGTTTCGGATTAAAAATAAGAAAAAAAGAACTGCCACTTCCATGTGGCCATTTACATTCCACCATCAAAACATTTTGGGGCAACAAAAAAAAATTAAAATAGAATATGGTCTTGGGAGGTGGGTATAAAGTTTAAACTAAAAAAAAAGGGGGGGGGGGAAATGGGGAGAAGAACTTAATAATATATACTTATTATACTTAATATTATACTTGATTCCTGTTCATATTCTCTCTTTTCTTTTCTTTCTTTCTTTTTTTTTTTTTTTTGGTTTTCCCCAACCTGTTAATGCTCTAACAGTCACACGTGGGCCCCACTCCAAACAGGTGGGCCTACATTGGGCTTGCGTTTGATTTGTGCCGGTGCGATTGTTGGGCTGGGTTCTAGGAAAGGAAGACCTCAAGACTTGAACTTCTCGCAGCGAAGCAAACTGGGCAAGCTCGTGCAACGGCGTCGCATTCTGTACAAAGCGACAGGTGCCGACACGGCAACACCACCATCGCCGCCACCCTCTTGCGACACGCTTTACACGACGGCCCAGCCCTTTCCACCACTCGGTCCGGGTCAATGTACGCCGACTCAGCATCCTCCGCTTCGCCACCCACAGTCCCCGCCGCACTATTATTCCCTCCCCCTCCGCCGCCCCATTCATCCCTCTCTTGCACCTGTTGTGCCGCCCCATTATATCCACCGCCACCACCGCTAGTAATAATCGCCCGTTCCAGCTGTGCCTGCAGATTCGCCGCCATGTGCTCTTGCATCTTGGCCCTTTGCTGCCAAGCCTGAGCCTCCAAACTCAGCTGAGCTGCCTTCGCCTCCAGCTCGGCATTTCTTCTCGCCGCTTTCTCAACTTCCGCTTCCTTCTCCCTCAGCCTCCTCGCTACCGACTCCTCCGCCGCCCCCAACAGGGAACGATAGTGCCTTTGCCTTTTCTCCGCTAAAGTTCGTCTCAATTGCTCCCCCTGCATGTGTGTATATGTATATATTAGAAATGGACAAGTCAATTTGGAAAAAAATTTTTTGATACCAGTAGGAGGAGGATTGTATTGGATGAAAACGGGGGGTAAGTACCTGGGCAAGGAGGAAGTGTTCGATTTCGTCGCGCTGTTGTTTAATATGGGAGGCTAAATCATCAGACAAGATGGATAATAGAACTGATGACTGAGCTGATGATTGAGGGGAAATCGAGTGTTGTTGCTGAGACAATGGTGGTGGTTGTTCGCCAAAAGCTAAGCCAAGGCCAATGGAGACGCCATTTCTCTGGGTGGCGGAATGGAGCTGAGTGAGGTCCATCAGTTGAGGATGTGGCGCCATTGAAATCAATGGTCTATTCATGGCAGCTGCCACCCCTCCTGTCCCTGCTCCTCCTCCTGTTGCCGTTGTCGTTGCACCTACCTCTCTTCCTCTTTTTCGCGAATTATTGATCCCAACTGTATTGGCGTTCGATTCATTGGATTAGCTGTGGATGGGATGAAAGAGAGGCCTAATTGGAAAGTTGAGGGAAGTTTTATTATTAATTACCTCCATGATTGAATGACATGTTTGTTTGATCAAAAAAAGATATTCCTCCTCCTCCTCCAACTCCTCCTCCGCCTCCGCCAGGAGGTTGAGGTTGCAACGAGTAATCGTTGGCAACTGGGCTTTTGCCTTCTTCAACAGCTCTGCACGGTATTAACAACTTTTGTTGGTTAAAACGTCCGTCGACGTTGGGCTGAGAGAATTGATGATTGAGGAATTAAAAGGGGAGCGGTTGGAAATGCGAACAAACCTGTTGAACAGAAGAACATTTGATGGGTATTGAGCTTGGACGGCCATTCTTTTCTTTCCTTTCCTTTCCTCCTTGAATCTCTTCTCTCTATATAGTAGTATAGAATGATGGAATGATGGAATGATGGAATGATGGATTTGGGATGAATGAAGGATTCGGTCAAAATCCAAAACGAATGAATGATTCAATGGGGGGGAAAAGATGAGGAGAGATTTATGGGGTCATAGGGAGGACGCGTATGGGAAGGAGGGAGGGCTAATAAACGCTGACACAAAAACAGCATGAAATAGATGCCCCAAACTCACGGCGGACTCTTCAATGAAGAGAGATGGATAGAGAGATAAGCAAATGAGAGAGAGAGAGAGAGAGAGCAGTATTCCTTTGTTCTTGTTGTTGTTGTTGTTGTGGATGATTGAATGCAATGGAAAGAGGAAGAGGGAGGAGGTGGTGGAGAGACAGAGAGAAGAAATATGCAGTCGTAAGAGTCTAACGAAAGAAACGTAAAGTGAATGAGTAATAGTAGTAGTAGTAGTAGTAGTATTAGTCTTTCTTGGGCGCCACCATCATCAACAAGGAAGGTAAAGAAAGGCTGGAGATGAGGAAGAAAAGTACTCTATTCTACACCTTCGAGGCCAGGCCAGCAGGCCAAGAAAAACCCATCATATTCCCCCCCAAAAAAAAAAAAAAAAAAAATTTCTTATATTGTTCTCTTCATCAATTTGTTTTCATTCACACAACGAAAGGACCCAAAAAAAAAAAAATTGTTTTTAAAAAAAGAAAAACTAAATATGCAAAGAACAAAGAATAGTTTTCTGTTGCCAATGGTTTATTACTATAAAGGAAGAGAAGGAACGGAGGAGAAGAGATATAGATGCGATTGAAGGGAATGAGTCCAAGAGAAAAGAGAGAGATTAAGGGGGAGAGAGTCTCGAGAGAGAGAGAGAGAAGGGGGGAGGGAGGGAAGAAATGGGAAGTCTTCTTCTTATTCTGCCTGGTTCTTTGTTTTTTCGGGGTTGGCTATAACTTCCTTTGGCTTTTGGTGCTTCCCTTTTCTCTCTTGTTTCGCGTGGCTTTGTTTTTGGCTTTTCTTTGGGGTGGCGGGGGGAAGGAGTCTCGTGCTTCTTATCAACTCCTATTTTTATACTACTATCTTTCTTAATTATCTACTACTAGTATTTAATCAATCAAATTGCAATAAATACTTATTAATTTTAACATAAATAAATACCTTTCCCATATTACCCCATAAATATTCTTGTAGTAATTAGTTTTTTTCTTTAAAAAGATATTTTTTTTTCAAAATGGTATATATATATATATTTTTTTTAAAAAAAATATTTTTTTTTCAAAATAGTATATATATATTAAGAAAGAGGAGGGAGGGTTGGGTGATGGATTGTTGTTGATGTTGGGCGTGCAGAGCGGTGTCTGGCGTTACAGCTGCCGGTTTGGATTGTTTGTATATGGCCCATCATCCATTGCTCTCTGCTTTTTCTCTACTTCCGCTGCTACTATTATTATTATGGGATGGGACTTAGGAGGATATGGGAAAATTATTTTTAAAAAAAAAAAAAAAAACCTTACTGCATCCACTCCTTTATTTACTTTTGTTCTCAACAATACATACGTGTACTTCTGGATTTTTTGGTAAATGGACCACTTTCTTCTCTTGGTAAATGTAAGGCTATTTAATTCAATTTTATGTGTACTCCTATATATTGGAGAGTTTTAGTAAGAACCCAAATGCCTTTTTCTCATTTAATAAAAAAAAAATAGGAAATGTGTTATGACTAGTTCTGCATCGGAGAATATTAGTAAAATTTCGAGATTTAAAAAGGGTCCAGATTCAAATTGCCCCTTTGAATATTACCATTCCCTTCCCTTACTAAGGAAGGAAAAAAAAAAAAATCCTTTCTTAGCTGGTTTGCTTTAAAATATGGATTAATTTTTGTACACTTATATAGAAGTGTATTCATCAGCTATTTGAGTTTTGAACTCTAAATTTTGCATATGTGGCATGTATCTGACTGTGCTAATACATAAATTGTCAAAAGTTTTATCCTTTAAATTTAATATCAAAGTACGTTAATTTCTTTTGAGTTTTGAACTCTAAATTTTGTATATGTGGCACGTATCTGACCGTGCTAATACATAAATTTAATGTCAAAGAACGTTAATTTCTTACGAATTGGTTCAAATTTTCATTTATTGCTTCGCATTTTTTTTTCCCTTTTTGACAAACATTTATTGCTTTGGATTACCTTCCTTGTTAAGTATGTAGGGGGTCATAGCTGTTTGTCTTGTATGATATCTAAGAATCCAACCATTCTATCCGTTCTTGATTGTCTTTTACTTCTCGCATGGTGTATTATTTTAGTCAAATACGTTGTTGATTGCCTATTACTACTTTTATTCTATACAATTATTATTTTTTGTCAAATTTTTTTAGAAAAAAATTAATTCAATTTTGATGTGGTGGCTTAGTTGAAAGTGCTATCTAGCTGCTAAGAGCTATGTGAGGTCATAGGTTGCACAGATAATGGAGGAACCACCAAAATTGTTTTTGTACTAATAGTTTGTTCCACTCTTAAGCAAAAAAATATAAATATATTGGGCCCCAAGAAAATTATGATTCCAAAAACTAAAGATAGTGCCTCTTGAATCACTTGGCTTGAGGAATTTCCCCACTACAAACAGCAAAAAGAAAAGGATGTGCAGAATTTTGGGTGAATTTCCAACTATCCCATATTTCCCTTTCAGCATTTGCATTCCGGAGAATAAAACAACCACCACATGGTTGGAATTTATCACTTAGAGAAAGTATTTTTTGGGTATCAAAGTATTTTCATCACTTTCATTTGAAGTAACTTGGAAATTTTATATAAATTTTAATGTTTTCCAAATATAATTTTTTAGTCAACATTTTGAAACAATTGAACTATGAAGTTCTTATTCAAATATATCCTTGTGTTAGTTAGAAAATAAAAAAAAACCATTTATTTTTTTAAAAAAATGGAAAATTTTGCAGGAAAAACCAATAGATTCATCAGAATTTCTTATACTCAATAGCAACTTGACACCACATTGACAAAAACTAATATATGGTTCAACTGCAATAAATTTTTTTTTTTTTTTGAGATTTTACGAAAATCTTTTGTTTTGGAGGTGTCTATCATATATAGGATCTAATGGAACGCCATGATAGTATAATTAGGAGGACAAAAGGAAATTTTCAGAACTACAAATCGGATTTGATGGAAATGGAATCAAATCAAATGTTTATCCAGAACCGTCACTGGTTGAGTGGTCGCAACTCATAGTAGTAGCAAGAGATTTGCAAGGAATCGCAGAGGGAAAAAAAAAAAAAAATGGGGTTACAAATTCACTCCATTGTGGTCCATTTGAATTTTTATTTGCGTGGAGAATATTGACTATTTATTACACGCATTTTCGTAGACGAGTCATGTGTCAAGAAAGGCATCCATAATCACTCCAACCCATGCCGCATCTTGTGCGTTTGAGAGGAGTAAGATATTAATTGTGATTGATGATTCAAGACTACTATACGTACAATCATTTCTATTTTATATATTCAAACTTCAGATTTCAGAATTTAGTTTTATCAAACGCACCCTGTGATACTGCTGGTGATTGATGATTCGAGACTATGTACAATCATTTCTATTTTATATATTCAAACTTCAGATTTCAGATTTCAGAATTCAATTTTATCAAACGCACCCTATGATACTACTAGGTACAATCATTTCCCTTATATACATACATATATATATATATTCTTTGTATTTGCCAAAAAAAAAAGAAAGAAAGAAAAAGGGATGCATTTTGTTTAAAAACATATATATATATAAATGTGAATCAAATCCCCAAATTAATTTGAAAATCATTTTAGTCTTATTTTAATGTGCAAGATTATTGATAAGTCCATGTTTCAAGCTTTTCTCCGTGTGCGACATGCCACCTTCAAATTGTCCATTCAAAGAGCCACGAACCATCGGGTGAAAGGAACCACACTACAAATGAAACACCAAGGGGAAGAAATAGAATAAATAAAGTATGGGACGGGGGTCGAAAACCTGACGTCCACGGCTGCCTCCAATGAATTAGTCAAATCCTCAATCAGCCAAAGTTAATAAATGTGGGATAATCACCATCGATTATCTTTGGCATGACAGCTTTCTTTCTCATTTCTTTTCTTTATGGGATTCTTGGGTTTCACATGAAATCTTGAGTCATTTACAAGGCACTAATTGATGATGTGGTGCCTTAATTGGAAAGGTCTAAACAACTTACTATAAATTTAATTGATACCACTCATCATAATGTTGGTATTAGTCGTGTCTTGATTTAGCAAATTAAGGTGAGTGTTTTCTAGAAGCTAGAAGATGGAATAAACAAGAAATTGTGGGTTAGGAAACGTTGGATCGATCCCTAGCTTGGGGGAGGGTTGGGTTGGGTGGTACGGGGGAGGGAGTGTAAGCAAGAGGTCTCGGGTTCGAGTCCTCCCGCTTACAAAAAAAAAAAAAAAAAAAAAAAAAAAGGGGAAAGGATCGATCCCTAGCTAGAGTGGTTCCATGGATCAAATCATACACTCTTTAGGTGAGAAAAAGTTGGATGAAAAATCATGATTAATTCTTGACAGGAGAAGATGGAGATGATAATAGAGATAGAGATGGTGAAAAATAAGTGAATCTTTTTCACAAGGAAAAAAGTTTGAGTTGGGTTTTGGTAATCTTCCCCAAAACCAAGAAGGATATTTACTTTTTAATTAATGGGGGTGACAAAGAAAGAGGGAAGCCACCCAAAAAAGAGAAAAAAAGAAATGAGTAGAAAAATTGTGAAAGAGAGTGCCTGGAATGGCATCACGCAATTTGTCTTTGTTTTGGTCCCACGGGTCGGCTTCTTGGATCCCTAGTCTCTCTGCCGCTAACCAACACCCCCCACAAAATCCCCATATTCACCACCTTCGCCGCACTAATTTATGTATATTAATCCCCATACGTTAATCACTCAACGACTCTTTATCTTGGTCCTTAATTTCACACGGTGTCTAGGAGAAATACTTCGAGAGAATCCACATATAAGTCAGAAATTTAATTTTGATCTAAAAATTTAAACTGTTAGATCTCGAATTTTTA